CATCCCTGGGCCTCCTGAAAGTTTTTACAGATGCTTAGGAACCCTGCTGCTAGGGATGGGAGTTGCTGTCAGTGGCAGGATCCTTGAGCAGAGAACTAGCATCATAATTTTGCCTCAGTCCACTTTTGGGGAGTGAACATTTGTCATTACACTTGTCTAGCTGTCACTGAATCCAATATAAAGCCCCTAATGCATACAGGTTTCTAGGACATCCATCATGTGAGTAGAAATCCAACTCAACTGCATGTAGGCAGACCATCTCCAAGAAATCTTTGCTCCATCTTCATAAGATATGAGGTAATTATTTTTATGACCTTTGACTAGCTGATTCTTATTTTGTCTGTGGAACCCATGCCTATTGGCTGTTACTAATCAACTGGACCAGATCTTGTTATCTCATCAATCTTATGAATCCCTTGTTTCTTGATTACTCACAATTTTCTTTCCTCTTTTTTTTTTAAACTATCTCTAAAGCAATCACTCACATCCTCTGTTCACCTCTTTCTCACTACAGGAACAAAAGAAGTGTGCAGAATGTCACTGGTAACCTTGTAGGTAATCTCAGTTCCTAAAAAGCAATTTGGAAAAGCAGCTACAGAGCGAGGCTTAAGTTCCATTTACAGTTTCATTACATTTTGGGAAAGGTTTGCCACATTTTTGGTACCATCTCTGGGAATCTACTACACGGCTGAAAAAGTTAGACTCAACAATAGAATTATCTACTCATTACCAAAGCAATTCACCCTGTCCTTGGACATCACTACTGCTCTGAAATAGGTGACTCACCAATGAGGAAAACCCTAGAAACCCAGTGTGCTGTTCTCCATAACTGAATTGTCCTTGATATACTCCCAGCTACAGAAGGGACACTTGTGCAGTGGCAGGAAGGGACTGCTCCACCTTTGTCCCTGGCAATCTATCAGGAAGTTTCAAGAGAGTGAACGAAGATTCATGGCATCACTGACATCATGAGGAAAAACAATGGGTCCAGAAACTTCTTCCGGTGAATCCCCAGAAGTTTATAAAATTGGACCTACAGACTGGTTCAGCCTAAATGAACAAAAGGAAACACGAGGAGAAAAGGATTTAAAGAAGGAATGCCTCTTCTTCCCTTCAACCAAGGGGAAGGGGACTGACAAAGATTTTTTGACCAAATTATAGTCAGGCTTCTGAAGCTTCTCCTAGGCCAATCTGTGTACTTTCTTGCAAAATTCACTTTTAGCAAATAATGCTGCAAAGGCAAGTTAGCAAGAATCCTCCATCCCAAACACCTGATCACCATCAACATCTGATCAAAATTCTTCACTTCCCATTCTTGGTATCTTAGCACTCTAAGTTGCACTCAGCAAAAATTCTATTAGATTAGTTTAACCAGAATTCCCCTTGGACTTGATGTCTACTCTTAATTATTTTCTGTCCACTGACCACCCTTCTCCGCCTGTCCCTTCCTCCGCCCCACTCCTTGGCTATGAATGTTTTCTTGTCCCTGCTGTATTCAGAATGGAGCCCAGTTTTATATTGGAGTCTTTTTTCTTCTGTGGCAATAGTTCTGATTTGTGTTTAACTCTTTAACTTTTGTTTTTCTTTGATTTTCTTTGACACTAGCTTCGTACATAGCAAGATAGTAGGTTCTCAGTAAGTTATTTTTTCTTTCACATTTGTAGATTTATTTGACAAATATTTTGTTCAGATGTTTAGAATCTGTATTATTTTCTGCTTTATTTATGCTAGAATAGCATCTTCATCTTTTGTTGATGCGATGAGCCCATGAATAATTTACAATGAAGTCAGTGCAAGTTGGAGGAATACACTATGTATTTAGTGTATGTATATTTGTACTAGATGTATGTATATATGTATTAGATGTATGCATATATATATTGCATGTATATATGTATGTATGTATATACATATAAATATATAAATGTACATGTAGTGTATGTATGCATATTCATATTATGTAAATTTGTATATATGTACATAAATACGAGTATATGTACATATATACAAATTTACATAATATGAATATACATGCATATATTACATGTACATATATCACATATTTGATGATAGGTTGTGAAGTGTTAATAATTGTTCAATTGTTTAAATAGTTAAAAAAGTATATGGGCATTAGTTGTAATTTTCTGTAGGTTTGAAATTTTTCAAAATAAATTTTATGTTAAATGCTTTTGACCCACATGTCTCTTGAATTTCTGTCCTATTTCTCTGACCATTCCATAGCTTCAATTTTTAACAATTTTCCCTTGTGCTACTTTTAGTTATGCTCTGTATAGTATGACTTAATGGTTAAGACCATAGAATCTGAAGCCAGATAGCCTGGGTTTGATTCCTGAGCTCTACCACTGTATTTCTGTTAACAAATTATGAAATCTCTCTGTCTTCCAAAATTTTCAAGTGGGTTATTGGAAATTGAAATATAGCAACAAGAGTAAAAAACTTAATAGGCATGCTGAATAGTAAAATAAATGGATACCACTTAAAAGTCTGCAAACTAAAAGATCATCTGAGGATTAATTTAAAATAGAGTATAACGAGACAAATACAAGATACAGGGAAGAGACATAAGTGTATTAGTTAGTATTTATTCAATTGTGAATGAAACATCTTTGCCGATTAACCTTATAAGGTAAGAAAGTCTATTGGATTATATAACCAAAGGAATGGTTTATTCCATAGATTTTGTGTCGACTTCTGTGTGATTCCCTTAGTTACGCCCTCATTTAGGTGGTGAATACATCCCCAGTCTGGTTTCCCTCTAAATAGTGAAATGGAATTGGCTATGCCAGATTTCACATCCATATACTGTGACATTGAGAGAGAGAAAGACAACTTTTTTGTGGATCTCTTTTAAAATAAAAGAAACTCATTTCCCAGAAACTTTCAGAAAAATCACCTTTTCTGTCCCACTGACCTCATATTCATCAACAGATATTTGAAATTTAGTGTTGCTGAGAGTGGATGATACGGAAATACATTTTAAAATTATTTTTATTAGAAAAAGGACAGAAAATCAATGAAAATAATTCTGACAGCTAAATGTGCTCACTAAAATAGGGGGTGTATTCAAGAGGTACAACATCCATCTAATTCAGTTTCTCAGACTTTTTGGTATCTGAATTCCTTTATATTCTTAAAATATAGTTAGCACCCTAAAGTGTTTTGTTTGTGTGAGTTACATCTATTCGTATTTACCATATTAGAAAAAACTGAGAAATTTAAAAAGATTTATTGATCTTTGAAAAGCTAAAATAAACTCATTACAAGCCTGTATAATTATATTAAAGAAGAAAATGTTTACTAAACGACCAAGTATGTCAGGTATTGTTTGAATACTGGTAATATAAAATCGGATATGACATGGTTGATACAGAAAGATGGTAGCTCTTCATATTATTATCCAAAGGGTACGATTTACTGTTTGCTGTCTTTAAAACGTTGCTTATGTCTGTGTCCCTTTCTTCTCTTAGAGCATTCTCCAATTCCAGCTCTCATCACCTAATATATGAATTATTGAAGTTAGTCTCACTGCTTCCAGTCTCTTTCCAATCAGTTGTCAGGTTAGTTTACTAAAAGATACAATCATGTTACTCTGTTGCCAAGGAAGCCCCAATGCCTCATGCCTCTAAAAATATTCAGATGCCTTATGGTGGCATTTAAGAATCTCAGTAACCAATTCCACTTTCCACCCTTGCTGTCTACAGTCACCCAGAGCTCTCCCCAACTTGTGGATTCTGTCCCATCATTTATCACCCTCCTTCCTTACTCCTGGTATCATACTCATTTCTATGATCATTGATTCTGGTCATGCTAATTGCTGTTTTGCTACAAATAGCATTTTTTCCCCATCTTTTGAGGCACAGTTTACTTTTGCTGGTACTAAATCACTGAATACCACAGGCAATGAAAGCTTCATTTTCTGGAGAAAAGCTGGTATCGAGTCAAGCTCCAGCTTTATCTGGTCAACCTGAATGAACTTGAGCAAGTGGCTTATCATTTTATAGTGTAAGATTTTTACTAAGAAAAAGCTTGAGAAAAATTAAGTCTAGACTAGTGCTTAGCTGATAATACATTGTTAAATATTTTTTCTTTCATATTTGCACATTTAACTGATGAATAAATATTATTAAGTGTTTAAGATTTTCACTATTTTCTACCTCATTTATACTTAAATAACATCTTCATCTTTTGTTAATGCTATAAATATATCAATATTTTTACTGAATTAATTAATATTTGGTACTCCTAATGACAAATGATACAAGTAATGATGTCAAGGGAAAAATATTTAATTGACTTATTCAGGAATTACAGTGTTATATATGATGGACAAATAAAAAATTATATTTAAAATTAAAATCTGTAGGAGTTTCATTGTGAGTAGCATAATTTTCAACTATAGATTGATAAATTACCATTATATAGATACTCTACTTCAGAGAACTTGAGTGTATAAAATGACTAACACTAAATATGAAAATATTATTGATTAGAGAATATATATTATACATGAATATATTTTCAAACATAATCTCATGAAAGAACAAAAATAAAGTTAGAGTTAAATTCAGTTTACTTCTCACAGATGGTGTTGCTGAAGAAAGGACTCATATTTAAAATTTTGGAATGTGCTTAAGTTTGTAAGCTTATGCTTTGGGATTCCAGAAATTTGCCAACAATAGTAAATGCAGACTACCTTTATACATATTGACTTTAATCCAATGCTTGTTGGATTTGTTAAAAGTTGTAAGTATTACACTCAGACACAATCTGAGACCTCATGAATAATTACTTAGTTCTCTTCTGATAAATTCTAATAGCTTAGATTTTTGAAGTACATTTTAGCAGAAGCTCTCTTTTCTCAACTTTTTTTTTGACTCACACACCATCATGTCTTAATAATTTAATATTTTAGATTCAAAATGACCTTTTTTACTTTCTCAGGACCTCTTAATTTGGAATAAAGTATTATAAAGTTGAAATCAATTTTCCAGAGGGAATGATACTTGTTTCGGAATGTTACAAAATTTTCTCTTCTTCATAACTTTTTTCATAACATTTATCACTTCCTTGTTTCTTAGACTATAAATAAAAGGATTTAATAAAGGAATGACTAAAGTATAAAATATAGCAACAGGTATATCTTTATTCCCTTCATTAACTGCACCTGGTCGAGCATACATAAAGAGAAGAGAACCATAGAATATTGAGACAGAGAGAAAGTGAGATGCACAAGTAGATAAGGCCTTGCCTCTGCCCTCTTTGGATTTCATTGTAAATATTGTGAATAGGATGTAGAAATAGGAGACTAGGACTATAGTAATAGTAAAGATTTGAATTGACCCTGCCAAAACGAACAGTATCAATTCATTGATATAAGGGTCGACACAAGAAAGTCTATATAATGGAAGAACATCACAGAAAAAATGATTCATTTGATGAGACCCACAGAATGTTAACCTCAACAGAAATCCTATTTCTATCATAGGATGCAGATTTCCAGCTATGTAGGCCACTGTTGTCATCTGAAAGCAGAGCTTCTTAGATATCATGGTGTGGTACTGCAGTGGGCTGGCTGCATATGGCCACATAGCGATCATAGGCCATGGCTGCCAGAAGAAAGCAGTCGGTAGTTTCAGCGAGGCAGAGAAAATAAAATTGAGTCATGCATTCATACAGAGAAATCCTTTTGTTTTCAGAAAAGAAGTTGTCTAACATCTTTGGGGTAATGGAACAGGAGCAGCAGGAATCCATCAGAGCCAGATTCCCCAGAAAAATATACATAGGTGTGTGAAGACGACCCTCTATATAAATTAGTGCCACCAAGCCAAGATTCCCCACCATGGTGATGAGATAGATGGCAAAGAAGACCATAAACAGAAGGGTCTTTAGCTCTGACTGGTCTGTGAATCCTATGAGGATAAATTCAGTTGTCGAGTGGTTGTACTCACTTATCTCTACCTTATCTGTTGAAGTGGGAATTATGGGGGAAAAGACTTTAATTGAGTGCATACACTTTTTTCTTCACCCCCCCCATAACAGTTAAAGGAGTTTCTTCATCATACTTCCCCTGCTATCTCTGAAACGCATCTACATATACTTCTAGGGAAAATTTGTTCTCCTAATGTTTTAACATCTATGATCTTAAGCTGTGACCCTTAGCATTCACAAGGATATTTTGATAATTCCAGGGAAGATGCTTAAAGTGAAAAATGTTTACTTTTATGAGTTTATTTTAAAATAGCATAAAAACTAGGGTACTTACATTTGGCTCATTGTTCTCAAATGATTTCAGTGTTATTTTTGCATTAAAGATTCTTAAAATACATTTAAATTATTTTACATACACAACAGTCATATAAAATTGAGAAAATAGTTTTTATATATTCTCCCAGTGGGGTAAATGTTTTTAAAAAGCATGCAACAGATATATGAAATGTATATCTTAGGAATTGCATAAAGTTTACTAAAACATGGGGTGACAGTATTTATCTTTAAAGAAAATTATCTTGGAAATCTAAAAAATAACAATCCATAGATAATCACCTGTCTCATCCCTTTCCACATTGTGACACACATTTTCATAAACATTGACTCTGTCAGTGCTGCTAGTCTCACTGAACTTTTCCCAAATGTCTAAATCCTTCCTCCTTTTGTTAAGGCATAATTTTTATATAATACTACTTAATAAAGTTTTAACTAAATGCTCTAAGATAAACAATCTCCATTTTCTGAACTGTGGAATATCTCTTATAATCTGAGGACAATTCAGAATTTCTTGCCTATAATCTATATTGCTTTCTGGTCATATGTATCTGCACTATTTTCTTATTTTATTGCAAGCATTTGAGATTAGTTGTGACTTATACTTTTGTGAAAAGAGCTATAAAATGCTGTGGGAGAAAAGGCAGTATTAATTCCAATTTTAGCTCCACCTCGATGACCTGGGATGGGTAAAGTTGATTTCAGTACTCTACCAATAATCTTTAGTGATCTCTCTGGTATCTGTAAACTGAGACTGTTAATTTTTAAAAAGTCTACAAAGAAAAATAACAAAATTATGATATAAAAAATTTTAGATGTCTTTTCTTTGTGTGAATTGACTCCCGCTATTTTTCTGTTTCTTCAGAAAAATCTTAATTTTATACCACAGCAGGTTTACTAATAAGTAAAAGCAAGTTTATATTTATACTATCATTTTTGGATAAGTAGGATAAAAGGAAACCCTCTAAATCTTACTAGGATTTTTGAATTCAAATTTTGCTTTGCTTTCATTTCTTAGTGATCCATTAGGATATATTGACAAATAAGTCTACTTATATAAATTCTATGGTCAAAAATGAGAACTTTTAAACAATAAAAACATTAAAAAATAGGCACTGGCTGAAAATTTTATTAGTTTTTTATTTTGAAATATTAAATATAAGTCATATAATTAGTCACTTAAGTTAGCAATAACTGTTGATGTACAGTTACATCAACTCTAACTGTAAATTAAAAATTTATCTGTAAGCTTACCTGTTTTGAAATTCTATTTCATAATCAGAAGGTCAGATAATTGCAGTATTGTGCCTTATGCTAATTTTCCATAGCATTTAATACTGAGAAGAGCTAGAAAGATAAGAAAGAAGTTGCAATTTAACAAAAAATTTTAAATGGTAAATAATTCAGAGCTGTAAATATTTATGGTTGCTAAAATTAAAAGTAAAAATAAGAGTACTTCTCCTCCCGAGATTTTGCTGAGAAGAGCTTCATGACAGCTCATTGTTTGCTTTATGATGTAGTTCTCATAGAATTTAAGAATATGAACCTTGGTCTCTAAAACATTTGGGGATAAAAGAATGAAAATCTAGGGAACTATAAGTCAGTGTCAATAATTATGTCTTTTACACTACAAAGTTAAAGTTTTCCATCAAATCCTAAAGGAATTCTCTACACTGACATCAATATATTTTAGCATAGAGAATCAGTCTTAAAAACGCATAAACCACTTGAAATTAATTAAAGATGCCCTGTGAGATAATGAGGTGAAAACAAGTGACCTTAAGTAAAGCCTGTTTGAGGATTCTCTTGCTAATTCATAGGTAACTGATCTCATGATTACAATTTTGTTTACCATTCTGTGCATAAAATAGAAAACAGGCAGAAAACAGTCTCAGGCTGGCTTGACCCATTACTGGGGATAGTGAGGTCAATACAGTTTATAAAAAATTATTTGTATTTCAAGAGAATACAGGACTTACCAAGGGTCATCAACCTCTTTACTCTGTGAGTTGAATTTGTCCCCATGTGCTGCAATGCCCTCAAGGGAACTTTGAAATTATTTTTTAGTTCCACATATGAATTACTGAGATTGCACCACATCTCTTCGTATCAGCCACTCTTTACCCTGCAGTGTTTCATTCTTCATATCAGTAATAAATCTTCAGTAAACTATATTTCTATTTGTTAGTACAGATATACTTGGTAACTCCTCCCCTATCATCCCATTAGCATATTGGTTTAGAGGAGAAGGAGTTCTTTAATTTGTTTAATCCTGTGTTTTAAACACCTTGAATAATGACTGGAACTTTGTAGCGCTCAATAAATAGTTGATGAACGAAGGGAGAAAATTATAATGCTCTGCTCAAGAATTTATAAAGTCTCCCGTTACTTTTAAACCCAAATTCAACTGTCTTATTTTGGTGTTCTGGATACTCTGGAGTTAGTCTATATCTCATCAACTTGATTTCTCTTCCCCATCTTAGGGAACTTGGCAGGTATATCTCTTCACTATTCTTTGGTCATTTGCTTGAATTAATTGACTAGTAATGTTTCTCTTACCCTAAAACAGCTTCTCTTTTTCCCATCTCAATTCTATTCACCTTTGAGCTCAAAGATAAACTTCTCCTTTTCTAATCTGTGAAATCAAATTGACTTTTATTCTTCCTGATCTACTTAATACTTAACTTTTGATATACTTGTAACTTAAGATGTGAGTGTTTTGTATCCTGAGACTTTGCCAAAGGCCTTTATCAGTGTAAGGAGGTTTTTGACAGATTCACCAGCTGACCACATGCAGAAGATTGAAACAGGACCCCTATCTATCCCCATGCACAAAGGTTAACTCCAAATGCATCAGAGACCTAAATCTAAAACCTCAAACCATAAGAACCTTAGAAAATGAAGGACATACCCTCATGGAAATCAGAACTGGCATCCAATTCCTGAATAAAACCCAAAACCCACAGGTCATAAGAGAGAGATAGACAAGTGGGACCTTATTAAACTGACAAGCTTCTACAAAGTCAAAGAAACCATCAAGAGAGCAGGGAGACAGCCTACAGAC